GTCAGGTGTCGATACTTTCGAAAGGATAATTACCTATTTCTTTGAAAGTGTCGATAATTTATTACACGTACTTACGAAAGTATCGACACTTTCAATATATCCGGTATCATTTTACCGGTTTTATCATTTTGATACCGGTTTTATCATATTTTTACCTGTTATATCGTTGTGGATCGATATATTTTTTTAAAGTATCGACACATTATAGGCGCTAAAACTATTTCTCTTTTAAATTCACAAAGTGTCGATCCTTATATAAAGTATCGACACTTTTAATATATTCGGTAACGTTTTACCGGTTTTATCATTTTGATACTGATTTTATCATATTTTTACCTGGTATATCGTTTTGGATCGATACATTTTTTAAAAGTATCGACACTTTATAGGATTTAAAACTGCTTCTCTTTTAAATTCACGAAGTGTCGATCTTTATATTAAAGTACCGACACTTTAAATGTATCTGGTAGCGCTTTACCGGTTTTATCATTTCTATACCGGTTTTGTCATAGTTTTACCTGTTATATCGTTTTGGATCGACACATTTTTAATTTGGATCGACACGAACCGGTAGCACAATGTTTTAATATTTCTTCATGACTTAGACCTACTTTTATAAGTATGAACACTTTTATAAAAATGATATATACTTTTTTTAAAGTTATGTAATTTATGTTTCAATTTTTTTTTAATAGTGTTTTATGTTTTCCACCTACAATATTAATTTAATAATTTCATTTACACAAAAAAATTATTTGATTATTTTGATATTTTATAAAATATTATTTAGAATTTAAATTTAACAATATTAACCAAAGATAATAATAAATATATTTTCACAGTGAAATAAGTATGGACACTTTTATAAAAAGGATAGATACTTTACAATATAACAGGTAAAAATATGACAAAACCATATTCATTATGACAAAACCGGTAAAATTTACTTGATATGTTAAAAGTATAGACACTTTTATAAAAAGGATAGATACTTACCGATAACCAAAGTTTACCGGTTACTAAATTTTTTTAATAGTTTTTCATATTTTCTACCTAAAACATTATTAGTTGTCAACATAATAGGTACCGCTAAACCGAATTTATTAAATACATTTTAATGTATCCGGTACTGCCGCATATTAGCCGTATATTAACCCGCCTTTCTTGATACAATCCCATATAAAAAAAGAAGTAAAATTGAGCTCTTTTTTTATTATTTTCAAGGAAAATGTTGAAACGAATAGAAGATGAAATGTTTTATGTCATTGAGCATTAGAATGAAATTTATTAATTTAGCAAATCAAAGGGTATGACTTATCTCTGGTAACGAAGTTGTGTCATTACAGTTACAAGTATCTTTCTTTATCATGTAGTACGATATTGCATAATCCAGGAGCATGCGCAATTTATTTTGGAGTTTGGCCGGTTATTGTTTTGTAGCCCCTAGATACAGCCACCTCGAGGGTGCAGACAAGTGGATTTGGGAAATCGAAAGGGCTCTGGAAGACCCTCACAGAAGGATCCTTGAGTGATGCATTTGATGGCCTCAGCATCTCTCTTTTACTGACCTCCAACCCGGCAATTCAGGTTTCTACACTGTAGCCTTCAATCTTCATCTTTAAATCTTTCATTTATTTTCATTGAAACTAAGGCTAGAAATACGTTAAACTGCAGTATACCGTTTTCGATCAACTGAAACAACGACTACTTGATCAAAAAACAAAGAAACCAGACCATGGTTCATCCCCTGTAGTTCTATCTGCCTTCACTGCCTTCTTGTTAGGCGCAATATCAAAGAGTATCGCGACTGTTATAATTTATCCCGCAATCAGGTGCATATCCGCTCTCTCGAATTGTCGCGTTATAGAAGTATACTTGCATTTTCAACTGTGGAAGTAATGATGTGTATGCCAACCCAATGCAGGTGTAAGGTCATGATTCAAGCTGCAGATCCAGATGACGACGGCAACAATAAAACTAAAAGGCCTCGACCAAACTCTCGCAAAACAGTTCCAGGAGTCATCGGTGCTATTTGGAGAAGCGAAGGGATTCTCGGGTTTTTCAAGGGATTAGATTCCCAGATCACAAAGACTGTATTAAGCTCGGCTTTGCTTATGATGATTAGAGATGGCAAACAGGTACAATTTCGTAGATTTTGTACCGTAGCCGCTTCAATTGGGACGGGATGGATATAACTTTAGTAGGTAGTGGGCATGTATAAATTTAGAAAGTGGTACCCGTCGCGGGTAGTGGGCGGGTAATGGATTTGAGACCTTACCCACCCCGCATCCGCCTGCCCACTAAATACACATTAAATTTTAGACTATTATGAATTTAGGTATAACTTTAGAGACTAATTTATATAGGTGGGATTGAAGCATTAATGTGTGCTCAGTATTGACTTTGGGATGATATTAAAGGTACTAACTTATATTAGTTTTACCTTCTATTATATATGTAAGTAGTAGTGAATTTAAATTGGAGCGCTATCAATTGGAGGAAATAGAGAATGCTGATTGTAATACTAGGTAACAAATGTCACAAGTATTGCCTGAAATTTGATAATGTTATGCCAAAGAACAAAAATATTATGTGTTTGTCATTTATATTTCTAGGCTTTAATTATGTCTTTTATTATGGTGTTTTATGTACTTTAAAATCTATGTTAACATTTAACTCAGATAATCCTTTGTTTATTTTATTATGCTTCTTAATGGACGTGTTTGTTTTATATTTGTTACTTATGTATAACTTAAGGCTGTTGTCAGGCGGGTCTAGCTAGGTACGTCTCCAATTGAGTAGCGGGTGTGGGGATGGATTTGAGAATGTACCCGCGTGGGCGGGTGTGAATTTGAAAAATTTTACCCATCATGGGTGGTGGGCGGATGATGAATTTAAAAATATTAGGTGGGTATAAAGATAGGGGAGGATGTATCCGCACCCGACCTACCCGTTTGCCATCCCTACTGATGATCAAAGAGAAAATCAAAGCCACCACTTGGGTTCTTATACTTCCATCCGGAGGTCTTTATTGCTCACAAGGAACTTTTGCTGTGCGGCGCCTAAAAAACGACGTGATCTATTAAATAAGTGATCGTTTAAAATTTAGATCGATTATGTTATATCATTTAACCGGAAATATTATCAAGTACAATAATATATTAGGTAGCGCTTATATAATGTAATAGGTTGCGCTTATATTGGCATATTTTCTAACTAAACAGGTATATTTAAACCGATAACATTGCAAATTTACTTATTCCATTATAATTATCGGTTTTGATGTTTTTGGGATTGATACAATTTTAAATATATCGACACTTTATGCGTGCACCTCGTTGTGCTTTCATTTTGGGAAAAAAGTACCTACACATATTTAAAGAGTGTCGATACATTATGTAAACCTATTTGCTAATTAACCAATATATTTTTACCGGTTACATTGTAAATTTGCCTGTTACATAATAATTATCAATTTCGATGTTTTTTGGATCGATACTTTTCATAAATGCATCGACACTTATGCATGCACCAGTTTGAGTTCTTCAATCAACAGTTTCAATGAAACAAAATCCTAACAAAAAAAAAATAAAACTAAAACTGACCTAACTTTATCCTATGGAGATAATAAGAGTATATCATAAGTTTGCGTTGAGAGATGTCTGTTTCTGGATTTTTGTTCTTTGAGAAACTGATAACATGGTGGGTTTCCCAATGTTATTCTTTTGTTACTGTAAAGTTTTTGTTCTTTTCTTACTGGGTTTTGCTTAAAATATCTAACTTTTTGTATTAAAAAATGAAAATTCTGAAATAAAAATGACCACACAAGCACACTTTTTTACTACCGGTTTTACCATTTCGAGACCAATTTTGTCATATTTTTAACTGTTATATTGTTATGGATCGATACATTTTTATAAAGTATCGACACTTTCAATATATCCGATAGCGCTTTACCTGTTTTGTTATTTATAGACCGGTTTTGTCATTTTTTACCTGTTATATTGTTATAAATCAATATATTTTTATAAAGTATCGACACAAATCGACAAGCTAAGTTTGCCGGTTGCCAAATTTTTTAATATTTCTTCATGATTTCCACCTATTACATTATTATTATTTGATATTTTCGATAGCGCTAAACCAAATTTGTCAAATATCTTTTAATATATCTGGTAACGCCGTATATTAACCGTATATTAGTCCGCCTTTTCTGAGACAATCTCGTAGATTAAAAAAAGTATGAAATATGATCTAATGAGGGAATGCAATGGAAATACACACTCCATAGTTATATACATTTGTATAATATACTCTTTTGTGTGTTAATAGACTTTTCATCCCTTAATGGTTAAGAATTCAGTCCTTTTGCTTTATGTAAATTGTGGAGTTAATCCTTATAATTTAATTTGTTGAAATTTGATAATCGTATTTTTTCAAAAATTAGAAAAATAGTCTATTGGCTTTTTACCCGGATAAGTTTAAGTGAACTATAAAATGATAATTGGGGACTGATATGAGATATGCTACGAAACAATAAACTAAATTTATATTTGAAAAATATAGTTAAAGTATATAAGTTGAAATAATTAGGACTAAAAGATAATATAATATATTAATATTTGATATAAAAAAATTAAAATACTTTGTTAAATATGTATAATTTTAATATAATGACAATTAATTCAAACCAAACATAAGTACACAAATAACTCCAATAAAATGTATTGTACCAAAATAATAAATATAATAAAATGTAAGCAAAATATATTTTTATGGCCCCTTAATTTTACTAATTTAATCATTTTAACCCTTATAGTTTTACTATATTCTTTTTTTCTTCGAATTAACTCGAACATGACATTTGAGTCAATTTCATAACAAAAGGGTAAAAGGAACGCAACAAAAGTTTAAGGGCTAAAATGATTAATCGGATTAAGTTAAGAAGCTAAAAAGGACATTCTACCTAAAAATATAAAAATGTAACTCAAATTTATAGTATTATATTAGGACTCCCGTCTTAAATCCCACAAATCAATAAACAAAATCTTTGGACTTCAAGACGCGCGAGAGAGATCTGCTTGAAAAATAGAAGCAAAAATGATGTCCGGAGGTTATACAAGCATTGATAATCAGAAAGTTTCTGGATCTGTTCCTGTATGTTCTATTTCATAATTTATCGCATTACTCTTATTATTCTCAATATAGACTTTTAATTCTTTCTTTTCAAGCTAAATTAAGCAGATCTAGTTTGCTAATTGTTTTCCAATCCTTAATTTCTCAGGCGGTTTCAGATCCCGGTCATATTGCCGTTAAATTTACAGGTGAAGGCTTTTCCCCCCTTTTCAATTGTAGAAATATTAATCTGAATTTAAATTCTTGTTTTTTCCCTTGTAGTATTTAGTTTTTTTATTGCTGGAAAAGAGTAGGAAAGTTTAGTATAATTGGAGTTTAAAATGAATGCATAGAATGTATGATTTAATGTACGATGAAGTTTTGAAGTCAATACAAATGTTGTTTGGTGCTTCGAGGGACTTAATTTGTGGATTTGGTTGAGTTTTAATTAATTTGATTCATTTTTTAGATTCGAACCTTGAAACATTTCCTCCATCGGGTGCACAGGGGAAAATCTCTGGCGGAACTCAACCTCCTCGTGATGCCGATGGTATTTCTGATTATATTTTATTTAAATTCCTTTGTTTTGTTTTCATTTTCAGTTGATCTAATTTGTGATGGTGCTTATGCTTTGGTTTGTTTATCCTGGGGCGCTATATATCTAGGAATCACGGTTTTTCAGTAGCATTTTTGCATACTAAATTCATTTGTGATTTAAGATTTGGTTCTAGTAAGTTATTACCGTAAGAAGATGATCCATGACACTGATGACATGTTTGAAATAGCTGCCATGTATGAAACAAATAGTTGAGCAAAAGTAAATAGATCAAATAAATTAAATGTAATATTAGCTACTTTGTAGTTCAAATGAAAATTTTAATTAGCTTTTCACATGAACAATGTTCGGTGTTATGTTGGTGGCAAATGATTGCATTGCTGTTGCGGCAGATACTTTTTCAAAACCTGCTGGTGGATCTAGATCTGATGAAGCACAGGGAGGTGGCTGGTTTCGTACATTCACTGTTGTTGCATACAAGCCATACTTTGATGTTGACACTTCAGATGTTGTAGATAGACTTAAGGAGTCACTCTTTCCATTTAGAGGAACATTTACAGAGAAAACGGCTTCCAACCCGGATTTGTGAGTTTTTTCCCTGGAAATCATTTGTGTTTAAATGGAGTAATGTGCTAAGCATTGAATAATTATTTAACATAGATGGATGGAAAATTATCTTAGCTCGAGACTGAAAAGTTTCTTTTATATTGCACATGATTAGAAACATTTCTTTCAAGTGTGGGTATGTAAAAACCTAAATGAAGAGAAAACAGAGTCGATCATTAGCAGGTTTTAGCATCGTGGTTCTAATATTATTCTTGGACATGAAATGCAATCGTTCCTTTAGAAAATATCATTTTGCCTCTCCGTAACTGTAATCTGATATCCTCAACGTTCATCTGATGGAAATATGTGTCTCTTCTGCACTCATCTTTCTCTCTTCCTATAAGTAAGGTCATGCATGATTGAAAATTTAAATGTTGTGCAGATACGGACCATTCTGGATATGCACCACTCTTATATTTGTTGCAGCGTCTATTGGAACTTTTGTGACTTACGTGGCGCACAAGCTCAAGAATAAGGAATGGGATTATGACATAAATCTAGTGACTTGGTCTGCTGGTGTGTTCTATGGCTATGTCACTGTGGTTCCTCTTGCCTTGTATGTTATTCTCAAGTACTTTTCAGCACCATCAGGCCTTGTCCAGCTCTTTTGTCTGTATGGATATTCCCTGTTTGTCTTTATTCCCGCACTGGTAAGTTCTCTGAATGATAAGATTGTTCATTTGGCTCTCTCATTTTAGTTTTTGGATTTCAATAAACTTCCATTGGAATTTTATTTCTAAATTTCCAAGTTGATCCCTTTGCTTCCAACGTTTAAAGTTCAAACATTGAAAAAGCTGCGGAAACTACCCAAAAAAAAGTACATTGAAACTTTCTTGTGGAAGATTTCGCTGTTAAAGCTAGAACCTGGACTTTAGGAGATTTCTTTAAGGTGAAGCTTAACTTGTTGCTTGTACTTGATTGCAGTGTCTATCGGTTTTCCCGTTGGACATTTTCAGATGGGTAATTGCGGGTGTAGCTGGGTTCATGTCAGCAACTTTTGTGGCACTTAATCTAAAAGCTCATATTAACTCAGCTGGAGAAAGATGGTTCTTGATCGTCAGTGGCATCTTTCTGTTGCAGTTGGCTCTGTCTGTTGTGCTCAAACTCTATTTGTTCACTGTTTCCGTTTAAGATTATACTTCCTTTGATGAAGCAAACCCATTTTAGTTGTAGATCAGGAGAGAGAAAAAAAAGAGAGCATGTTGGTCCATTGGCTTTTAATTGCTAGTTGCTACGGTTTTGGGCTTTAACTATTCTTCATCAAGAGTTACATCTTGTATTCATTCATTTGTATTGTGCTATGTCAGATATAAATACAATCGACATTTACTGTGTAATTGCTTTTTGTTCACCATTTTTGAAAACCTTAAACACCCGTTAATTTAAGATTAATTAGCGGTTAATCTAATGACATGGGGCGTTAATTTACTTAATAATGTTCATTATTCAACCTTTAGTGCTGTGAAAGAAAAAAACTAAAATTCTAATGTTGGTGAATAAAAAAACTGAATTGAAAGAGTTGCTATTATGACAAATCTTTGTTGATTAATGAATTAAAAATTGGTGAGTTTATAAAAAGTTAAATCCAAGTACACAATAAAAAATCATTCGGATGCAAAATTGAAATAAAAAAAAGAACCAAACTCCAGCTTAACTCTAACTTGAAAAGCACAATAAACATCACCAACATCTATCAATTGTAATACCACTCGAGCATCTACCTCACATTCAATTGCTCTATAACCATACTCCCATGCAATCGATAATTCAATTCTTATAGCATGAAGCTCAGCCACCACACTCGAACAGATAACCAAGTTTGTCGAGAACCCTAAAATTCACTCGCTAAATGTGTTTCTTAGAATACCACCTGCACCTGATATGCCCAGATTTCCTTGGCTTGCACTATCTGTATTCAATTTTAGTTTGCCATTCTTAGGAGGTGGCCACGCCACTTGAATGTGAGTATTTGGCTTCAGAGAAGGTTCCTTATAAGCCAACAAAATGTCATTTGTTGTCGGGATAATATTGAGCCAAAGTCTGATATCATCATAATCATTATCATCGGGTTCAAAGATCCGTTTGCACCGCACAGTCCATAGTCTCCAAACCGACTCCTGAGAGTGCTTCGCAATATTAAGATTGTCTAATAGCCAATTTCTAATATCTTGGGAAAAGAAAGTTCCCTACATGGTGTTGGAGATGCAACGACTCGCGTTTTCGGTTATTTCGGATTTACCGTGATTGCCGCCGTCGCGGGCGCTATTGCGGCTGTCGCAGACGCTATTGCGGCCGTCGCGGGTAACTCGGACAGCAGCGAAACCGCTATATCGCGGCCGAAATCGCGGTCGCGGACCGTTTTTTAAAACCCTGGCAACAACTCCAAATGGTGCGTGCCATGTTGCAATCCCTTAAACATGACTTAAATTCTCCACCGGACAGCCACATATGGTGCAACCAGCCGAGAGTTGATAATTAATCTGTCACACCAAACTAACCAAACAAAGGTTTTCCATCTAGCTGGGATAGGCAGCTTCCACATCCAAGATAAGTTCTCATTCACCTATCTATTATCCTCACAAATAAACGCAATATAAGCTAATCGAGTCATAGAAATTCCGTTGGCAGAATATTTCCAGCAATACGAATCTTGCATGGAAGAGAATTTCAGTATCGGCCTATCGGGTATCCCATTATTTTGCTTGCCACCTCCATGGGAAGTTGCACAAAAATTTTATTCAAATCCCATAGTTTATCAACAACTATAAATTCACTAACCTTTGTTGAATCCTCCAAAAGTGTAGTAGATACATTTTGGAACGTACAAATAGGTTGTCCCAACCAATTATCCTTCCAAAATAAAATATATTCCCCATTACCAATCCATCGTATCATACCATCAGCTAAGCCTTGGAGACCATACACCAAACCTCTCCACGTATGAGACCATGACGGTTTATTATGGGACTGATTCGGAGCATACATGAGTGGATCACCATTAACTCCATATAAGGATTTGAATGCTTTCACCCATAAGTTATTGGGTTGACATAAAAATCGCCATTCTGTTTTTTGAAGAAGAACATGGTTGTGTTTTCTCATCTGTCGGAGTCTCAATCCTCCAACTCATTTCGGCGTACAAACTTCATCCCAAGCCACTAAGTGTTGAGCACGTTTCCCTTCACTACCGTCCCATAAAAATCTACGATTGGCTTGATCAACTCTTCAATAATACTAGTCGGCAAGTGAGCCGTTAGCATCGTGTAGGTAGGTGTAGCGGACGTGACCGAGCTAATAAGAGTAGTTCGTCCCGCTAAACTCAACGTTTTAGCTTTCCAACCGCTTAACCTCGAATTAACTTTAACAACAATCTCTCTTTAGGTAGATTTATGACACGTCCATGGATCAAAGGCACTCCAAGGTACTTTACCCAAGTCGGAAGATGAGCTCATGTTAAGAATTTGGCCAAAACTCCATCTAATACCCGTTTTAACATGAGGAGATATGAAAAACTTCGACTTTTCGTAGCTAACCTTAGCACTTGAAACAAGACAAAATTGATCTAACTCTCTTCTAAACACACGAGCCTAATAATTATTAACCCTCCTAAACAAGAATAAATCAATTGCAAAAAATAAATGAGAGATTTGAGGTCCATCTCTCCCTAGCTTAATAGGTTTCCAAGTACCAATGTCAACTTCATTTTCAATCAAATGACCAAATCTCTCCATACATAAGACGAAAAGGTATGGAGACATTGGATCACCTTGACAATTGACATAAACCCCTAGAAGGATTGAAGAATTCTGTCTTTTCTCCCTTCTAAAGCACCGATAATTTATAACTTTGAACACAAAAAAGAATGAGGTCGACCCCAGCTCAATATCCCAAACTGTTCAAGAGTTTCTTTTAGAAAGTCCCAATGGATCCTATCATATGCCTTTTCAAGGCCGATTTTAATAATTACTAGCCACTCTTCCCTTTGAAACGTTTGACTTTGTGTATCACCTCCTGAGCAAGGAAAATGTTATCAGCAACTTGACGACCTGGTATAAAGCTCACCTGAAACGGTGTAACCAAATCTACCAACAAAGGTCCTAATATGTTCACAAGCACTTTTGTAATGAGCTTGTACGCAACAATACATTACTTATTGGGCAAAATTGCTTGACAATTACTCGACCGGAAATGTATCAATTCTCAAAGCTGAGCCAACTAAAGAAGTGACAGAGACCCAAAAAGTACCCCAAAATTCCTGATACACCCCAGCGTGAACGCCATCATCACCAGATACCTTCCAAGACTTCATCATAAAGAGCGCACGATGCACTTCCTCTTCCTTAATCTCCACAATTAGCGTTTGACTAACATCTAAAGGAATCGTAGGACAGTTTAGCGTTGGCAGTGGCATTCGGTGGTTAAAATCAATGCTGATTAAATACTTGAAATAATCTTGCACCATGAGTTTTAAGGATGAAGGATCACTAACCCATGCATTATTAGAGTCTCGCAGCATAGCTATTTTATTTCTCCTTCGATGTGCAATCATAGAAAAATGAAAAAAAATGGGTATTATGATCACTATGTTGCATCCATTGAACTCTCGATTTTTGCACCCAATAAATATTCTCTTGTTCCAATAAACGATTATACTCGACTACTAGATTATCTTCAAGCATTTCAAGTTGATGGGAGCGATGTTCCGAAATCACACGTTGCAACCCACTAATCCTTGCACGTAGCTGCTTTTTATGATAGAAATTATTACCCAAAATATTGTACAAGATATATTTATGTTGTTTTCATTTAGTCTGTGCTTTGGTCCTACTTGGATTTGGTTCTTTTCTACGCTCCAGCTATTAGTACCAAAATATACTCCGTCACATGATTTTGGATAATTTAACAATGTCCGAATGAAAGCATCAGTTAATATTATTCGAACGAAAGTATATGATATAAACATATATTTATGTATTTAATAAGTTTTAATTTAAAATTATCTAAAATTTGCCGGACGTGATGAGGATAGGTATATGAAGTACTAGATGCAGGACTATTGTACAAGGCAATTAATGTAGGAGATCATATATATATATATATATATATATATATATATAGACTTGACCCGCTGATTTCGGACTTATGCTTGAAAAATTTACTTCTGATTTGTCCTTTGTGACAATAATCAATGCTATATGATTATCTTTCTGTGCTTCTTCTCTGCATATTGGAACCTGCTGAGAACAACTGAGCCATTAAAAATTAAAATTTCCGTTTGAGACCACTACAAAGTCAAGCAAGTAGCTTCTCTGCTGAATGGTAATCCCATGCGTAACTCTCATTATGATTCTTTTTCTTATTATCATATCTCGAATTGTATATAAAGTTCTCATTCGACTCGACTCGTAGTATAACCACTTAACTCGAAGATTTTATACAAAAAGAAATGCATGCGTTGATGATCCAATCGTTTACTTTAAAACTAGGGAAGCTAAACAAAGTCTCGTGATTGAAACAGGCGGGCAGGGATTGTTTAGTGAGGTTTGAGTTGATGTTTATAAATGAAATATTGAGATGGTGGATTCACTAAATTCAATGCAAGCCTTTGCTGATTTTGTGCAGCACATGCGAGTGTGTGACTACAAATAATGTATTGTACAAAAGCAATCAGGGAACTTTGTATTTTCTCTGTCACTTGCCCCTCTCTACACTTCCCTTGGAAAATAAATAATATCCTACGGGAAATCCATTTAATATTCCTGCTAAGAAACTTGTAACTTTAAAGTTGGAATCTCATACTTATGATCTTTACAATGACATAATCAAGATGAACCCGAAGTTTGATTTAATTTGTTCCTTTTACAATTACTTTTAAATGCAATATTCGAAGGTTTAAAATTCGATTTCGAATATCTAAAAGTTGAGTTTTTATCGTAAAAGTATGGGGTTTTCTTTTCAGTACATGAATGAGTCAGATTTTGCGAAACACAAGACAATAATTTGCATATGATTTGGATGAAAGACATTGACTTGGTATCAGAAACTTCCAAGCTCTCTTCTGATGCAAAGAAAATGACAATTCTTCACAAAAGAACAAAACAATGGACGAATGAAGTACACAAGGCACTTTCTCTTTATACTCCATAAATAAATCTGTGTATGTATATATGCCTCATGTGTTCATATTAATTCGTAATTATATAGATTTTTTCACACATTCGTGCTTATGTCCTTTCTCTTTCCTTTTCAAAACTCATTTTCCTTTCATCTTTGTTACGTTGCTTTTCTTTTCTTTTCATGGAACATAGCAAAACTACAGTCACTGAACCATCGCCTGGAATGTCA